TTGTTTTTAAATAGACTGATGGGCATGGTGGCACATGCCTATAATCTCAGCACTTGGGAGGTAAAGATAGGATTATTAGGAATTCAAGGTCATCCTTGACTACACAGTGAGTTTGAGGCTAGCTTGGACTTCAAAAAAACATGAAAATGAATACATTATTTAATTAATTTTTTTTTAAATTTTTCTATTTTAATTTTATGTGTAGGTGTGTATTGCCTGCATGTAGGTAAGTGTACCCATGCCGTGCAATGCCTGGGGAAGACAGAAGAACTGGAGTTATGGACAGTTGTTAGCTGCCATGTGGGTGCTGGGATTTGAACCTATGTCTTCTGCAAGAACAGCCACTGTTCTTAACCACTGAGCCATTCTACAGTCCCATAAATACATTTTTTAAAAAGTTGCTAACTAATCCATCTGGAGGACCATCTGTTCTGGGTACTCGTCTAACATATCCATACATGTTCCTTATGTCACAGCTGCCCTGTGGGTAAGTATTGTTAGTTTTCTCATTTTGCCAATGAGGGAAAAAGATGCTCAGAGTCCAGTAATTTACTTAAGGCTCTACCCAGCTAATTTTTGAATCCAGGGAGTAAGACTCCATAATCAATGCTCTTGATCACAGGGATGTATGTACTTCAGCTAGAGAAGGATTTATGCAGAGGACTTGGTGAACCTGCCAAGAGTAAGAACCCTGCCACAAAGACTAGTGGAAAGTAAGGACAGCACTGTTGACAAGATGCAAATTATGTCATCAAATTCTTAAAAAAAACAAAACAAAACAGACTTGTGCTGGAGAAATGGTTCAGCAGTTAAGAACATCTGTAGAATTCCCAGTTCTCAAGTTTGATTCCCAGAACCTACATGGTATAGCTCACACCCGCCTGGAGCTCTAGGGAGATCTGATGCCTCTAGCCTCCGAGGGCACCTATGCATGCGCGCACACACACACAGACAGACAGACACACAAATCTTTTTTAAAATTAGACTGGGGCTGGAGAGATGACTCAGCAGTTAAGAACGTTGGCTGCTCTAGCAGAGGACTGGGCCCACATGATGGCTAATAACCATCTGTAACTCCAGTTCCAGGGGAATCCGATAATTTCTTCTGAACTCCCATGGGCATTGCACGACACAGGTGCACTTACACACATGCAGGCAAACACTCATACACAAAAAATAAAAAATAATTTAAAAATAGACTAATAGCTAACCCTTTTTGAGCAATTAATCTGTGGCAGGTATTCCTGTGGTGTTTTTTTTTTTTTTTGCTGTTGTTGTTTTGTTTTTTTGAGTCAGGGTCTATGTGTCCAAGGCTGGCCTCAAATTCTATATGTAGCCAAGTATGACTTTGAACTTCTGATCCTCCTGCCTCTATCTCTTGAGTGCTGGGGATTACAGTCATGTACCATATCTAATTTATGGGGTGCTGAGGATCGAACTCTGTGCTTTAAGCATGCTGGGCAAACACTGTGCTCCCAGGCCTTTGAGACAGATATTCTACACACATTCTAAATAGTGCCTGTTCACCAATCCCTTCCCCACATCCCTATTATTTTAAAGGTACTGACAAATTCAGAGGAATGAATGCCAGAAGCAAGGCTCAAGGCCACGGATTGAACATGTGGTCCCTGGGCTACCAGTATCAGTGGCATGTGGCAGTGTACTAAAAATGCACATTGTTAGGTCTCTACCTAGGTCTAAATCAGACTAAAAACTCTGAGGGTAGAGACCAGAATCTTTTTTTATTCCTTTTGTTTTTGTTTTGTTTCCTTTATTTATTTAAAGACAGGGTCTTGCTCTACAGCCCAGGCTGGCTTAGAATTTGCAAGCCTGATGCCTCATGCCTTAGCCTTGTGCCATTCTGAAATGTAGTGTCTTGTAGAGCCTGATGGACTATTCAAGGAAAATAAGGATTTTAATCCTTATTTTCTCTCTCTTCACATGTCTATACCAACTTGTCAGCAAAGATGCTTGCTGATAGGTTTTGTGGTTGGGACACTGGCAGTCACCCTGTGCTAGCCTATGGTTTTGTCCCCCTTTTCCATGGATGCTCTATTTTTCTCAGATGGAGAGCTCTGCAATGACTTTCAGACAAGGGTTTTTTTTTTTTTTTTTTTTAGCATTTTTTTCTTTTCTAAATGCATAGTAATTTGCCTGGTTGTAAGACTTTACAGATAGCTAATCAATATGTAAGTCTCCTCACTGTAATCCAATGCCTAAGGTATAAAAGATATGTGCTACCTCCCTTCAGGGTCCAGATTTTGAGACTTTAGCCCACTGGACCAGGCTGTAACCTAAATAAAATACCTGCTTCCTGTATACTCCCAGTGTCCTGCCTGTTCTTTCTTGCTACAGTTTAAAAACCACTGGCCTAGGAAATAAGAATTGAAGTTTTATTTTTTTCTTGGACTTTGGGGTGTGGTTAGGGGTGGAAAGGAAAATTTTGTATTTAAAACAGTCCTCTCTTATCAGGAGGTCGACCTTGCCTTGTGGAAACTTGCATATAGGGTCCCCACGAAGTCCTCTCACTTGCTCATTCCTTATGATTAACCGTGAAGGTCACTACTGAGTTTGAAGTAGGAAAAAGCAAATGTTGACCATAAGACCTAAAGGGGAAAATTGTTCCTTAAATAGTTGCAAACAGTTCCTTAGCACTTCCTTTTCTTTTCCTCCAGAAATCCTTTCTAGACATTAGCATTTATCATTCAGGACAGGCAAATGCCTTCTTTGACTTTCTGCAGTAGTATTTCATTGCATTAGAGACTATCTGAATAACTTTTGTGGAACTCAGCCAGAGTCTGCCCTGGTATCCTGAGACAGGAAATCTGTTTTGACTGACTTGGTCATTGCTTAGTTTTGGCCATGTTCTGTGGTGCCTAAAACTTCCACTGCCCTTGGCTAAGATCTTGGAATCTTGTCAGTGTTCACATTTTGAATAGGCAATTTATGGTAGGGAAGACCTGAGGATGAGAGTACATTTTTCTGGCTAGTGTCACTCAGCTTTGAAAAGGGAGGTGACAGGGGCTAAAAAGATGGCTCAGCTGTTAAGAGCACTGGCTGCTCTTTCAGAGGACCTGAGTTTGGTTCCTAGCACCCATAAGGAGGCTAACAGTGGTCCATAACTTCAGTTCCAAGGGATTTGATGCCCTCTTTGGCTTCTGTGGGCATTGCATGCACATGGTGCATTTACATAAGAGAAAGCAAAACATACATATAAAAAGAGTGAGGTCTTTCAAAATCAATATAAAAGCTATTATTTTTGTCTGGAATGTCAGTGGAAAGATATGGTGAAAGGTGAATAGGAAGAGATCAAGTTTGGGAGGAAATCCAAAATTTGTGACTTAATAGAGACAAGAAGTGTCAAGGTGTTACTTCACGGATTGGTAAATAGTGACCACGAGGGGGTAGATATTTATCTGCTGTGATATCCGAGTTGAGATTGATATTCATTAAGGGGCATCATCTCCTTTGTACTTCGTGTAGCCTAATGTGAAGCATTTCAATTGTTCCTCACGCGTCCTAATGAGGGGAGTGCCGTTACCAGCCTCAGTGCCTCAGTGGGCAGCTGATGTTGGGCCCCGAGGGTTGAAAGTGTAGATAGTTTGACTCTACAGCTCAAGCTTAACTCAGCAATACAGATCTGCAGCTACCAGCCTGGATAGAGCACTTGCCTGTGACTTTAAAAAGGGGCTAAGAAAAGAGGCCCACCTGGGTGGATGCAGCCCACTGCACAGTGAATGGTTGTAGGTTGCAGAGCCCAGGCCGGAGTCCAACCCCAAAGGCTCCCTCTGCTGGACACCCAGCAACAATAAGCACATCCCTCCACTGTGAACGAGAACCCACCCTTGGAAATGCAAGAGGCTCATGCAGTTTTCCTCTCTTGTAAGAAGCAATGAGGAGAAAGAACAGCCCAGCTGCCCGGGCTTAGCTGACTGAAGAATCATGTAACATGCCCAGGTGCCCTGGGAAAGAGCTTAGAATCAATTCAGTGTTTGGGGTATGAACTATGTCCCCAACCCCAGTGGTCCTGGGCCCAGTATTTCATAGTACCAGCATCAAATGCAGACTTGTTTTTGAAGGAAGTTATCATCACTATGAAGGAATTTTTGCCATCCCCCCGAGCCCCCAGAACTCTGGAGGACAGTGGCTGAGTCTCTAAATATGATAGGCCCTGCTTACTTGGACTAGTATCTCTCTAGGCTAGAAGCCTGAGTCCCCTCACCTGCATATCCACATCCCCCATCAAGGCAGGAGGAGGAACGTACAAGTGGAGATGCAGGGATTGAGGAAGGTTTTTTGTAATGCCCCAATGACTCTATCCTGGCATCAATCTATAGTCTCAGGCAGGAAAGAAATTTTTTAGTAATCCAAGGAACAGAAAGCTTGTTATTCTCATCTGCTTGTGACACAGTCAGAGGGAGCACTGTGTTCTAATTTCCAATCCACAGTCTGAGGGGAAGTAGAAAGACCATTTTCTGGGGCTGGTGAGATGGCTTAGTAGTTAAGATCACTGGCTGCTCTTGCAGAGGACCCAGGCTCGATTCCCAGCATCCAAATGGTGGCTAAGACTGTCAGTAATTCCAGTTGCAGGGGATTTGACACCCTCCTCTGATATCTTTGGGCATTGCATGGCACAGGTGCACTTATATACATTCAAGCAATATACTCATACACATAAAATAAAAATAATAAATAAAATAATTTTAAAAATATAATAAAAAATGTCTATTAACAGCACAATTACAGTGACAGGGATGGAGAGATGGCTCGGTGGTTAAGAACACATGCTACTCTTCCAGAGAACCTGAGTTCAATTATCAGCAACCATGTCAGGCAGCTAAGAACCACCTGTAACTTCAGCTCCTAGGGGATCCAATGCCTCTGATTTCTGCAGGCATTCATGTACACACATACAACCCCCACACATGCACATAATTAAAAATAAATGAATAAATCAAAATCTTTTTAAAGATTGTACCACTACAGCCAGCTGACTGTACCTTGGCTGTTTTCATTTCCTTGATGGGGTCCTTCTGGTTCTCCATGAGAATCAAGTTCATCTCCACTTTCCTATTGGATTAACATACCACAAAGAACAATGAGATAAAAGAAATGCAAATACTCTGTGTCCATGCCCTTCTGTAGAAGGGACTTCAGTTTTCTTAGTTGTTTCTTTTTCCTTTTTTAAAAAAAATTTTATTATTTTTATGTGTATGCATGTATTGCCTGTATGTAAGTGCACCTGTGTCATGCAATGCCCACAGAGGTCAGAAGAGGCTGTCGGATCTCCTGAGACTAGAGTTATGGACAGTTGTCAGCTGCCATGTGGGTGCTAGGATTCAAACCTGGGTCTTCTGCAAGAACAACCAGTGTTCCTAACCACTGAGCCATCTCTCCAGCCCCTCTTTTTCCTTTTTTTTTTGGTAGTGCTAGGCAAGTACTCTGCCCCTTTGCTGTACCTCCCGCCTGTCTTCTTTGTCAGCTTCTTTTAGTTTAAATGTCCCCAAAGACTGTTGCTGATGTGAACAGCTTTAAAGAGCTGCAAGGGCTGCGCAGTGACAGCAATGTTGGCGTTAAAACCATATTTATGTGTCTTGGTCTGTGCAGTGTTCCATGCGTGGCACAGATGTTGGAGTTCAGTGGGAGAAGACTGTCACAGGCCAAGGTCAACTGGTAGAAGGAAGCAAAGCACCTCCAGGGACTTCACAGAAGACTGGCAGGAGATGAGAGCAGAGGCTGAAAGGAACAGGAAGGTTGGGAAGAAGTCAGACCCCAAGGCCTCCAAGGCAGACAAACCATTTCATCCTTTATCTTGGGAACAAATGGAACCATGGAAGAAAAGCGGGGAAGCTAAGGGTCAGCCTGGCCTTTTGTGGAGTTCCCAGGATTACCATGGGTTGGGTTTCTTATCACATTTGATAATCTCTTCCCTCTTTCCCTGAGTCACATTAGAAATGTGGCTTGACTGCACACTAGGATTATCAGAAGAGTTAAATAAGAAGATTCCTAGGATCTAACACTAACAAAATCAGACTCTGTGGGATAGTGTGTTGTTAAGGTGTCCAGGGTGCTTCAACGTGCAGCTGGATTGAGAGCCACTGACCCTCTCTGGAAGTCGGAAGAGCAATTTAACAACCAAAAAACCATGGCAGGTGGAGCTGCTGACCCAAGGAGAACTCCATGCATTGTTGGATGAGGCTACAGTGTTCTCCCCTCATGGGCATTTCAGTATCAGCTGGATGCAGATGTGGAGTGCCCTGGAAGTCCCCTCCCCTCCGATAGTCTCACCCTTTGGTGACAGTTTTCTGCTTGTTATCAAATACCAGCCTACTCTGGGAAGAGACAATCATCTAACGTAGGGGGGTCCTCTGAATTCCCCTCTGCATTTCTTTCCTCACTTGCTGGCTTTTTGCCCTGTATATTTCTCCCTTGCTGACTTAGTGCTTAGAGCTGATGAGATATGTTGGCGTGAAAATACTAAAGAGGCAAATCATTTTCCATCTTTAGGTTTCTCATTTTGGAAACAGCAGATGTACCCAGTACAGTAAAATAATGTTGCTGCTGCTGCTGCTAGTCATGGTAGCACATATATTTAATCTCATCACTTGGGAGGTAGAGGTAGGCAGATCTCTATGAGTTCAAGGCTAGCCTGGTCTACAAAGTGAGTTCCAGGCCAACTGGGGATACAGGGAGACTCTGTCTCAAGAACACAAAAACACGAAGCAAAACAAAAAAGCACTGAAGAAAAAAACCTGCTTCAGTCATAGTAAACTGCTAAGTTAGAGTACTAGAAAATTTATCAAAATTTAAAAAAATTCTTGTTTATAAAACCCTTTAATCTAACAGGAAATTGGATGGAAAGAGAGAAACAGGCTTCCTCTTTTGGAAGAATTTCAAATTCAGAAAAGATAAATTGCTAGTCTCAACAACATGCAGCTCTGAGCCCCAGGGATACCCATTTCATAGATGGGAAGATGGAGGCAGGGAGAAACAGTGATTTAGAAACCAAACCCTTTAAGTGAATCCTTATTAGAAAAAGAGATCATCTTAATTTAAAATTCTGTCCACTCACACTCACATACTGAGAAGTGTCAAAAATGCTGCGTGTGTGTGTGTGTGTGTGTGTGTGTGTGTGTGTGAAACCTAAGGTCATTCATTCATTGCAACAGATTGGCCATAACTAACATGGCTTATCAACTGGAGACTAGTCAAATTAGCTGTGGTAATTTAAGAACAAGATATCTCTATGAATTAACATAGAACTCTAAGGAACAAGACTTTGAACAATATGTAATAACATGCCAAATTTGTATAAAGCTTTGGTCTTCTATTTATCTGTATTTACATTCTACATTTTAGAAGGGGCACACAGGGGCAGGTATAGTGGTGCACACCTCTAATTCCAGCAGTCTGGAGTTGAGGTGGGAAGATCAGAAGATGAAGCTGTCCTCAGCTACATAATGAGCTTGAGGCCAACCACCCTCAACAAAAATAAATAAAAAGCCTCTAATTGCATTTCAGATTCAAAACTTGAACTAGAAACTAAAACTAATCCCTGTACTCGGGAGACCAAGACAAGAGAACCTCAGCCTTCCTAGCTTACAGTAGGGTAGCCAGACTTCTACTGCTGTGATAAACATCTGCGAAACACTGGAAGGAAAAGGAGGGAAGATTTACTTTGTTTTACAGTTTAGAGCTGTTAATCCATCATGGCAGGGAAGGCATTTGTTGTATTTTTTTCTACTTATAAAAGAAATACATCTTCAAAGATGGAAATTTAACTGGTAGTGGGTAGGAATATGGTAAGGAATTTCAAGAAACCGGTGATAGTACTGAGTTGTATTTGGGAAGGGTGATGGTAGCCGTGTAAAATTATAGGTCAGGGTGGGGGGGAGTGGGGAGAGGACTAAACATTGTAAACACCTAGACAATTCTGGGACAGTACATGAGGTGCTTCCAGTGATGTGAAGGTCCTGGAGTTGCTTGTGTCCAGGCTCTTCACTCATGTCTTACAGACCTGGAATCACTCCCAAGCCTCGGTTTCTACAGCTGTCAATGGACAGGCTTGGGTCAAGTTATCTGAAACTCTTACCTGTCCTTGGAAAACCTTCCACAGCTCTGATCTCTACCCTCATGTCAGGCATTTAATCTGAGTATGGAACTTCTAGGCCCACAACAGTTTTCTCCAGGACTGCTGGGATGGGGAGCATGGGATACAGGAGAGAGAAGGGGGACCCTCGTCTGTCTCCAGATGTCTGCATGACTTATCACTGAACTGCAGGTTCTCCATCTGTGAAATGAGAGCAATCAATGTTGCATGGGGAGCTGGGGAGGGTGGCCAACACCTGAAATGCTAGCACTTGAGAGGCAGAGGCAGGAGGATCAGAAATTCAAGGCCATCCTTAGGCACATAGTGAGTTCAAGTCTAGCCTGTACTACATGAGACCTTGTCAATAAATAGGTAAATAACAAATACTGCACAGAGTTCACCCAAGGTTCAACCAGGAAAACAAATTTGGAAATTCTGTTTAACATAATATGTGATGACCCAAAGCAAATGATTAATTTCAGAATTTTCTTTATTTTTTTAACATTTATTTATTTTATGTCTGTATGTGTGTGGGTGCATGTGCCATGGTGCGTGCATGCTTGTGGAGGTCAGAAGTCAACTTTCAGGAGTCAGTGCTCTCCTTCCACCATGTGGGACCTTGGAATTGAACTCAGGTCATCAGGCTTAGCAGCAGGCACTTTTACCTGCTGAATCATCATGCTGGCCCATATTTCAGTATTTTCTGGATGATAGAAGAAAATCAGTACCTTTTTCCTGCCCCCCGTGCGAGTGCTGGGGATTGGAACACCAATTCTCATGCTTAATTAGCCATCTCTTCAGCCCCTAAGATTAGTTAGTGTCTTGTTTGAAAGTTACAACTTCTAAAGTAGTGTTGTTTTCTGGCATATTAGAAAGACATACAACAATACAAACAAAAGGAACAGAGGAGCTGGGGAGAAGGTAAGGAGTTAAACTACTTTCCGCCAGGCCTGAAGACCTGAGTTTCATCCTCAGGACCCACACATAGAAGGAGGGAACCAATTCCCACAAGTTGTCCTCTGACCTCCACACACATGCCGTGGTGGGTTCACACACACACACACACACACACACACACACACACACACCACAATAAATATGTATAATAAAAAATTGAAAACATGAAACAAAAACCTGTTCTTTTTAAAATAAAAACTAACTTAATAAAAATCGTAAAGCATTTTGCGGATTATTAAAGTTGAAACATATTATCAAATCTCTGCTCCGGCCAGGTGTGGTAGCACACATCTTTAATCCAAGTTTTTGGGAGGCAGAGGCAGGGAGATTTCTGTTCCCTCTCAGGCTCTGAGGCCTGAACAAAGATACAAAGCTAAATTCTTCACAGGAACAGAATAGAGAGCCCTCACTAATGTCATGTGTTGTGGGCTTTGTGGCTTTTAATCCTAGCTCTCTTTGTGTTAGCCATGTTTTGTATCATCTGTGAGCCTCAGTTTCCTCATCTGTGTAGGGATCTGCATCCTCACCTGGAAGGAGAATGGGAAGATTAAACAAGCTTTAATATGGGAGGCTTGGCCTTTAGCAGGCATCATTGAGTGTTTTTTCCTTTCTCCCTTGGGGTAAGTCTTTTATAGATGGGAACATTCTTAGAAAACTGTTACTTCACATAATTTTCACCTCACTGTTGAGAAGCAGGTGTGGAGGGAATGTTTTATCATTTCCATTTTACAAAGAGAAAATGGCATCCTAGAGTGTTGTAAGGTCACTCAGAGTCAGGGAGATCCAGGGCTTCCTAACTACTGGTCTGACACTTTATATTGCTCATGTTCCTTTTCATCCTGGACTTGTGTCTTTCTCTTGGAAATATAACACTTTCTGACCTAGATATTTTTTCCTAGCATTATTATCAAGAGTCTTGCATTCACTGAATCTTGAAGACAGGTTGCAATCTCTCTCTACTGTCTCTGTCAAGTAGTTAATAAAGCACATTTAAATGACTCAGGAGCAGAACTTATCTCCTAAG